GGACATGAACACCCTTCTTGCAGCCCACCGTGTGCCAACAAAACAGCAATGTCACTTCCTGCAAAACTTTTCCAGAAGATGGATTTAAATTGTATCCTTGCTCTCGTTAAATTCAAAGTCCTGTGCTTTTTGCTGAACTATGCTTTGGCTTCCAAGAGCCAAGGGAGACCTGGGTCCCAAGCTTCTCTGCCAAACACTCCCTGCGTTATCCTGGGGAAAGCATCTTGTGCCTTTCCTTGCCTTGGGTTTCCCGCTTCCAAAATGGAGCTAGCGATGTGTGTCTGGCTGCTTACTCATACCACATTCATCACTGTGGAGTTAAACTCAAGGAAATTTTTCTGAAAAGGGCTTTAATAGCCTCAGATGGCTGGGGCAAACTGGCACAGGGTCTCTTCCTGTGTTTTTTCAAGCATTTGGGCTCTTTTCTCCCCTTCTAGTATGAAATGCCCTGCATATAACTTCTTTCAGAAAGGGAAAAACATCTTCAAAGACTCCTTGGGAACAGTCCTCCTTGGTGGAATTAGTTGCAATGCTGAACAAAATAAGGAAGATGTTTGCCCCTGCCTTGCCCAGAGGGATTTTTGGTGTTCAGTCTCTGCTGTGCCCCTGAGGCTGCAGGTGGGAGCATGGACACCGTGCCTGGGACCTGCCACGCCAGCAGGCTGTGAACATCAGTCAGCATGCAGGATGCAAACAAAATGAGGTTAAGCTGCTTGATGCTGTTTGCAATGCTGGTCATTTTCAAAAGGATTTAAAAGAAGCTGTGACTGCTGCCTTTTGACTCTGCTTAACTGTCTGTGTGAGTTGGTGGCACAAAGCTATGAAACTATGGGGGCTTCTAGTAAAATCAAACTTGGAAAAGATGTTTGTTTTCTTCTAATTTCAACTGTACTCATAAAAATACAGTAACTTAAACTGTGGAAAGCAGGTTACTGGCCCTTTCTGTTGCTACAAACCACCTCATCGTCATAGTTTTTCACCTGAGGACCTTTGACATGTGTCTCCACAGCTGGGAAATTCATGGTAGGCTGTAGATCTCTCAGGTTTTGCATCTAAAGTAGCTTAAGCCTGAAAACTGGCATTTCTGGATTCCTTGTTAGACGAACACTTGTAAGGACCTCAGTCATCTGAATTACAGTGCAGACATGCCATGCTGCCACAGTCTCACAGTCAGTCCATCCAGCTGGGTGAGAGCAAAGCTGGTCCTTTTTACAGTATCTAATCCAGCTTACTTGTGCAAACAGGGAGCGCGCGCTAGCCGTACGCACCCATCACAGCACCTGCAGCCTCCAAAAGGGTCCAGGGTATATTAGGAACTTACCTGAGGCCAGGACATGCAGGAGGAGTGCTCTGAAGGCAGCTGCCACTTCATCACGTGCAGTTTCTGGCTTTGTCCAAAGTTCCCACCATCAAAGGCTTTCTTCAACGGGAGCTGATGGTGTCCCTCTACCCAGGGCTGCTCCCCATTAACATCTTATTCCCCCAAAAGAGTGAACTAGCTCAGAGGCAAACACAGCTGAATGTTTCTGGGCTTGTTACTACTGCTGAAATATCCCAGCCTGTGCTGATCTCCAGCCTGATTGCAAGCAATATTTTAATTTCATTGATGTTGTAGCACTAAGTGACTAATGGAATCTAGGGCCTATTGCCCAGGAGGGGAAAAAATCATGCTAATATGATTTTCTTTCAGTGCTCTTACCTGTAGCTGTGCGTGTTGCTGACTTACAGGATGTTAATGCCATTAATAATTGAGTTCCAAATAGCTGCTTTAAATCAGACTTACACTGCAATGTCTTCTGTGTTTGACAATAGTTACTGCACTCTTGAATTACCCTGGACAATGGAAACCTGCTATTGTTTAATAAAGAACAATCACTAATGGTGCAGGGGGAAAAATCCTGTCTGCTTTCAGTCTTTCCTGACTCCCTTTAATTAAAAGGCATATTACACTGTGATTAATGGGGGCACTTGGGGAGGGTTTCACTTGGCACACTTCAGGAGAGAATGAGATACTCCCCACCAGCAGGATTTTACCAAAGGCTGGACAGGCCCCTTCTGTGCTAGCATCTGCAAGGAAAGGGAGTGAAGTGACACAGCACGCTTCCTTTCTGTTAGGGCTCCCTTCAGAAAGGGGTTGAACCGCAAATCCTCCAGCTTGGCCAGCTGCTCCTTTACCATTTGTGGTCCTCTCAGGGCAGTAACAGCGATGCATTCACAGAGATGTGCAGGAGGCACCTCATCTTATCCTTTTTTGCACTGTGCCCTGGACCCCTGGCCCATCACCAGGTGGCCATTTGCTAATCATGTACATCTGTGCAGCCTTCATTAACTGGAGTACCCCCAGGCTCCTGGCCCTGGTATTCTCAGGCCTTAACGGGTAGGCAAACATTGGTAGGGAATATGCAACTTTTTGCCCAAATTGGTAATGAGGCTATTTAGCAAGAGCTGGTTCTCCTCTGTCAATGCTCTTGGTAAACGTCTTGACTCGCCTTCTGGTTCTGCAGTCGCTTGGTCCCCTTTTCCCTTTGCGTGGGAGAAGGAACGCTCCCTATTTCCACACGTGCTGGTGGATGTTGGCTTGGACAAACACGTTCTAGGAATGTTCCCTTTCCCTCTCGTGCTTTGGTTTCACTTTTTAAATCACTGTTTCTGACCGGGGAGGTGCACTTCTTCTTCCTCTGACCTGTGCTGCAGCAGGGGCCCTTCTTGGCAACAGGTGGCAGAATTCTCCTTTTTCTCTGGCTGGGTTAAGAAATGGGAGGGAAAAGGGTCTCTGAAATGAGATCTCCTTAGCTCTGAGAGCTGTGAAGAGCGACCCGGGGCATCGCACGAGGGAGGCAGCCTGCTGCAGCACGGTGTCGGTGGAGAGTCGCTGCCGCACGCTGAGGCAGAGCGGAGTAGCTGTGCTTTGGGAGCGGTTTCTGCCTCCGGGTGCCAAAGCAGCAGGAGCCGAGCTCCCGAGCGCGGAGCAGACGGAGCCGAGGCCGTGCGCGCAGGGAAGGGAGGATGCAGAGCCTGGCACCCTGGGAAAAACGCGTGGCATTTGGTAATTTCCAGAGAGCAGGAGAACAGCGTTTGCTGCAGTCCGCACGCCCCCTCCGGCTGGTTTTCCGCTCCGAGGCTCCTCGGCAGGCTGCAGAGGAGGGGGCAGCGAGGTGTAATCGCGCTCCTCACGCCCGCCCGTTTTACCTAAAACACAGGCAAAGCTGAACGGCCGGAGGAGGAGAACCCGCGCTGCCCAACGCG